CAGCAAGGTTGTGGGGGCACCTGTAATGTGTGAGGCGCTGGCTCCAACTTTCAGGACTCTGTGGATACTTGGGCGGAACTCTGTTCAAGATTGCCACGGTTTGGCTGCTATAAATATGCCCCCAGTCTTTTGGTGTCTGTTGAGGTGGCATTTCTGGAGCACTGGCTTTCCTGACCCCTGATATACAGTGTATCAAAGTGGCAACACATTGCACATGCCTCTGAGAGCCTGGGAACTGGGTTTGCTACAGCAGGGCAGAGTTATCACTTGGTGCCGTCTCTTGCGTGTGCCTACAGGGACTGCCCAGGCAGGGTGTCCTCTGTGGAGCAGCTGCTCAGTCTTGGCCTTTTTCCTATTGTTCCATAGCTACCTATATAGTATCCACATGTGTCCAGTGGCTGTCAAGTGACGGGCTCCCTTCTACACCCATGCTGTGGGGCAACAGGAAAGTGCAGATTTTCATGGAGGATATTTTTCCAGTTGACCCTGGGTGAAGGTCACAAAGGGATTCCGATGGCAAATCTGTACCAATTGGCAGCTGCTGATGACAAACAACATTGCAAGCTAGGTGTCCTTGTCAGCTTCTGGGGGCCACATATGGGGTCTCCTGCCCAGCCAGCCTCCCATAGCTTCAAGCATCTGAGCAGTGAACTAGAGTTGCCAGTCCCTACAGCTGAGCAGAAAGACCCTGAGCTGATAACAGTGATGGGCCGTGCAGTCTGAGACTATGACCAGGCAATGACACTGAACAGGCTTTTGGGAGACACCCTGTGTATGTCTTTGGTCTAAGTGGAATGGTTTTGTATGAAGAAAGAATAGCATCCGGTGATGTGGGAGTGTCATATATCAATCTGTTTTCATTGGTTAAGCAATAAAGAAACTCCTTGGCCCTGATAGGTTAAAACATCAGTGGGAGGAGTAAACAGAATAGGATGCTGGGAGGAAGAGGAAGTGAGCTCAGACTTGACAGCTCTGCTCTCCCAGGCAGCTCCAACCCAGGATGGATGTAGGCTAGAATCTTCCCAGTAAGAGCACCTTGGGGTGCTTACACACATTATTAGAAATGGGCTAGTCCAGGTGCGAAAATTAGCCTAGAAGAGGCTAGATAGAAATGGGCCAAGCAGTGCTTAAATGAATAGTTTGTGTGTTGTTATTTCGGGGCATAAGCTAGCAGGCGGCCAGGGTGCTGGGGATGCAGCCCCGCCGCTCTTATTTCAACAATCTGGGAGCTGGTTGACTGAAGCTGATGGACCTTATCCGAGTCCAAGGCTGGATGCTTCTATCCCTAGCTCAGTTCTCACAGAACAGTGCTAGGTGGTCCATTCCTGACCGTTGCAAGAATAACATGCCTTGGGGAAGCCCTATAAGACTCAGGATATGACCTTGGTCTAACTCGAAGGCAGCCTCCTAAGGAAGGGTTCAGTTTGGGCTAACCCTCAGATGCCAGAACCTAGCGTTGTGGGTGACAAAGCTTAGTGGATACAGGAAGATGCTTTCTGCCTATGGTTATGTGCACCGAAGCCCTGGGTCTTTTATAAGACAAGTAGTCACGGATGGGTGATACCATGTCATTGGGGGTTGAAAGGAGCAACAGCTCCACCTGCACTATACCAAGGACCTCAACAATACCTGGCTATCAGTTTCTTGCCCAAATGGCAAATTCCATAAGGAGCATTTTCGATTTTGCATCTTATTTCTTGGTTTTGTGCTTTAAAAGCACTTCAGGGGGACTGGGGAGATGATCTGATTGCAAGTGTTTTACTGAACCCCAGAACCCACACAGAAATCTGGGTACTTCTTCATACTTGTAATCCCAATGCTCCTGGGGGATGGTGGGTGGAAACAGGTGGCACCTTGGAAGCCCAGTGGCCAGTTAAAATTATGCCACGTGTCAACGTTCCAAACCAGTGACACACCCTCTCGAACAAAAGAGAGAAGGTGCCTAAGGGCCCACAGTGGAGCTTGGCACGTGCACTGTCACACACACGGGGAGGGGGCACAGTGAAGCATACGATACACCTCTCAGTGCAGCTCTAGAAATCTTACAATGTAGTGCTCATTGAATAACACGTTCTCAGAGTTTCCCAGCCTTTAGCATCTGCACATATGGTCTCATGTCAAGAAAAAAGAATGTATTTTCCTAGGTTGAGTATTTACCCATCAGACTTTTGTGTCCTGTCCGAAGCAGTTATAAAGCACAGATACATTTCCTTTTTATAGTCTTTGAAATCAGCAGAACACCCCTTAGAGCTCCCAGAGGTCTGGTAGCTGGCCCACTGGTTCAATGTGAACCACTTAAAGTTAAAATACTTGGTGCTGCATTGGTCCTGAGACTCTCCACACTGGGCTGATGGATATCTTCTGTCTCTATTTAGTGGGAATGAAAACACCCCTATAGGCTGCTCTGTCCCATTCTGTGGGCTCTTCCTTCTTTGAGTCAGACAAGCTCAGCGAATGCCCCCTGGCCCCTTGACCTCCCAACACACATGAGTGGGTGCCTCCATGCTCCTCCTTGGTTTCACTGGGTGCAATGCTCAGTGCTGTCTGAGTTCTTCAGCTTGTGGGTACAGTGATAGACCTTGATGTGTGACCAGTCAGCCACAGGAGATGGGGCTGAGAGACACGTTTGAAAAATGAACTATAGCTGGGCATGTCTGCACGTGCGTGTAATCCCACTTGATGCTGTGAGACCCCAGATCCTGAATTTCTTGTAAACTTGTAATCCCCTGATCTGAGTGCCTACAGCTGCTCTGAGCACGAGACCTTCAGGAGTTCCTGATAGCAGGAGAGTGGTTTCTGGTGGGTTTGGCTGGAGCGTGGCTATCTCTATATAATCTGCTCCTGAACCCAATAAAGAGAGCATTCCGGGGGCTTTTGGTATCAGTGTTTAAAGGTCTGCGTGTTGGTCTGTCTCTGCGTCTGTGTCTTCAACCTCCAGCCTCTTGTCTGAAGCTCGAGAACTGGGTTCTAGCGCATAGAGCACAGACACGGGCGCGCGGTGTGCGGCACTTGAGAGGTAGAGGCAAGATGATTAGAAATCTAAAGTAATCTTTGGCTATATATTGAAATTTGAGACCAACCTGGGCTATGAGACCCTCTCAAAAAAAAAAAAAAACCAATTGTGGGGGAGGGCAGGGTGATGGGGGCCTGAGTATCAAGTGGTTTGGTTGCCTGTCTGGAGAGGGTCACTTGTGGGGAGCTGAGGTTGAGAGGGTCCCCAGGAGGGCTTCTGGAGCCGGCAGAGTTTTGTCCTGACCCACTGCTATGAGGGGTCCTTGTACCTGGATCTGCTCAACTCCAGAAGGGTTCTAATCCTTCCAGGTGACCCTTTTGTGCTCACTTTGGGGATAAGCCTAATAGTGTCACTGTTCAGAGAGGGCATCACTTAATTTTCAGTGCTGAACTCCCTAAAACCGTTTTTGGGAGGTTGAGAGCTTGCCCTCAAGGGATTGTTCTTAACTGAGTGGATGCTTTTGTCCCCCTCCCAGCAATGCCTCCCCATCTTTCAACAACATCTCCCTCCCAGGATGTTCTGAGGTCACTGTTGAGGTCCAGCTGATCTGGGGAAACAGGTGCTAGCCCCTCTCTGCTATGGATAGCTCCTGGAGGGAGGTGTGGTGGCAGTGTGGACTCAGCAAGCTGCATCCCACCCTCTATAGGAACTGGAGTTAACTGTATAAGGGCTCATTCCTGAGTGAGCCATGCTTCCTTCAAGCTCCTGACCAGAAGAGCCTTCCTGGTAGAGGGTAGAAAGCAGCCATGCTGGGCACAGTTGGGTTTTCACAGAAATGGCTTTTCTGAGTTGGTTTAGAAATGTTTTGTTCTCATTGGTAGTATACGCAAAGTCCTGTAGCTCCTGTGTCCCAGTCTGGTCACTGGGGTGTCAGCTGCCTTCCAGACTTGTGCCTGGTTGAACTGGGCCTGGGTGTCCTGACTGGCACGGTTCCACATGTTGTGAGTAGCAGTGGGTGTTTCTGTTTGACCATCTGAAACTGTTTTGGGTGATTTGTTGCACCTGGGGGCTATGGCTTTTGTGAGGTGAGTGGGGAATGATAACCAGGATCTCTGAAATGGTAGGGAACCCTATCCTACTGAGCGATACCCCAAGTTTGCCCCTAACATTTTTAGTTCACTTCTTCCCTGATGAGTATTTCATTGCTGACAGTTTTTCACGAGTCTTTCATTGAGAACAAGGTCCTGAAAGGAAGAACTGTGACTTCCCCCGTGTTTGTATTCTGGAACCCTTTGCTCAAAGCTTCCTGTTATTACTCTGGGAAGTTACCATATTCTCTTGGAACCAAACTCAAGGAAGGAAGCACCATTCACCTAGGATGGGCTGCAAGGCTTTTCCAGGTTAGGTCGTGGGACACTCCTGCCAGCAGGTGCTTGGCAGGCTAAACCCGTCCCAGAGGCCAGTGACCTCTTGGGTGGAATTAACCTCAGGGTGCACAAAGCCCCAAAGGACAGCGCCCATGGCTAGCTATAGACCAGTCCCCCGGACTAGGTTAGCAGCCTGACCTGGTGAGGGCTCCACCCCACATTACCGGCGTTGTAGGGATGCTGAGCTGCAGACAGGCTGAGAGAAAGGGACCATGATCTGTGGAGCGGTGGGAGAAGAGCCCCACAGGAGTTAGGAGAGAATGGGAGAACTGAAACTAAGGGCAGGGAGCCTGTGTTGTGAACAGGGATGGGGGGGGGGCGCAGTTCTGCGCACGGTACTGGAGTCTCCTGGTGCTGCGGGAAGTCTGCTTCTGCGTAAAGTTTTATTCGGCGGTGGCCTCTAGGGAGTGGGTTTGTGGGAGCGGAATTTTTGAGGGGTACAGTGTTCCGGAGAGGTAACCCAGGGACTATGGCCTACAGGGGCGGAGATGCGGGAGGGCGGAGCCTTGAGGGGGCGGGGTCACTTGGGAAGCCGCCCGGCCCCGCCCCGGGCAAACTTTTCCTGGGCCGTGGGGGCGGGCAGGTGAGATCACGTGGTGGCCGGGGCGTGCCTGGCGGACCCCGCCCCTACGCCCGAGTCCGGCGGCAGCTCCGGAGCAGCGGCGTGTGGCTGCAGGGGACAGCCAAGTCTAGCGGAGCCATGCCCACGAACTTTACCGTAGTGCCGGTGGAGGCGCGCACCGACGGCTCTGGGGACGAGGCTGCTGAGCGTACGGAGGAACCGGGGTCCCCCGAGAGTGCGGATTCTGCCTGCCCTACCTCGGGTGAGCTTGGCCGCACCTGCCGCGGGACAAAGGCAGAGAGACTGGGCCCTCCCGCCGCCGCTGGGCCGCTCGGGCTCGATGGGTGGCAGCGGCCCGCGGCGCGTAGCGGGGTGATGGGAAGGGGTCAGAAGGGCTAGCCGGTGCTTGCCTGACTCAGAGGAGTGACCCGGGACTTGGAGAGGATTCTTGTGCTGGTGGTTTGTTGGTCTTGTTCGTTCCCGTCCCTAGAATTCACTTCTCCGCGTCTTGCTCGGGCTGCACGGGGAGCCTAAGTCTCTGTTGGCCTGGCTCGATTAGCCCTGGGGGCGCGGTCTCCACCTCTCTGTAAGGCTCGTCAGGAGCTCTGAGGCTTGAGCACCGGAAACGACTTGATCCGATAACTCTGACGGGACTAGGGAGGAGTTGCGGAGCTGCTGGAGGTACCTATGGAAACGGGAAGGCCCAGGTTCCTAGGTGGCGCCTGGAAGAGCTCGAAGTACAGACCCCTGAGTGGGTGGTCTCATTGACACAGAACTTTCTCTGGGCCTGTTTTGCTTTACTCCAGACCGTCCCAGGGCGGTCGTCTAATAGATCTGACTGGGATCCCAGATTTGCCTCCACTGACCTTGTCCCAGCCAAACCTCCTTTGGGATCTTAGGGGAAGGACAGAGGCCCGCGTCTGCCTGGGGAGGGGGCTGTGCTCCCTGAGCGCGGGCTTCTCTTTGCTCTTCTTTGTTCCCAGGATTCTGAGCTCTCTCTGGCACTTTCACTTTCTGCAGGGTGGGGATGGGCCTGGGAATCCATCTCCATCCCAGCTCCTAGAACCCAGCTTCCCCCTGCTTGAAGACAAGTCACCTTGAACTGGCTGCTTACTCTGATTCAACTCCTCTCTAGACCTAGATCCTAACAGGCCCTTTGATTGGGCTGTTGAGGTGAAAAGACCCATCAAAGACTCACAGCTGCAGCTGGTCTTGTGCATGCCCCACAGTCTCAGGTTGGAGAATCAGGCTCCTGGCTCTGGGTTTGGAAGGGAAAGAGGGTACAAGTCTCTTCCTTATGACCTCAAAACTTTTCCCGCCCAGTATTTAGGCAGGAAAAGCTGTGCTTCCTCTGGTCACACTTTTAGGAGCCTGCAGACACAGGCTAGACATGCTGGCCAGGAAGTGGCTTAGCACAGGTTAGCCGCCTGCCCTTCTCAGTGACCCTTCCCATGAGGGGCTGCTGGACTGTTCAGGCTTTCTCTGTGTAGACAAACCATGCTATATCTCAGAGCAGCTGCCTGGCAAAAAATGTAACATCAGTTCAGAGGTGGAGGCAGAATCTAGAAAGCCTAGACTCAGTGTCCCGCAGACAGGAACACTGTGGAGGGAGGGTGGACCGCATCACAGTGGTCCTCAAGAGTAGAGCCCCAACAGCCCTTCCTGGTACCCAGTGCCCCGAGGCAGACAATTCTACGCACCTGCTGACATCCAGTATTAGTGTCTCAGCCGGAGGCATTTTTCGTTTTGATTCATTATATTTTTGTCCCCTCTACTGTCAGGGCCCTTAAGTGGTGCCTGAGGTCAAGACTGAGGATTCAGCTTCTGGGAAGGCAGGTAACCGTTAGGACTCTTTTATTGCCTGCACACGTTTAGACTGACAGGGTCTTAACGTAGCCATACAAAGATGACCTTGAACTTCTGGTTCTGGTGCCTCTACCAACTGCTTGGATTACAGTAATGTGTGGCCACACCTGCTTTTTTATTTTTTAAATATGCTGCTGATTGTCACTGAACCAGGGCTGGGTACTTGCTAGCAAACATTCTACCTTCTGAGCACACATCTCTAGCCCTGTGTATGTGTTTTAATGATCCTTCTTGGTCCAGGTTGAACTTAACTTGTAGAACTTGTAGTTATTTCTATGAAGATGTTTTTGGAAGCTTAGCCCACGGTGCCATGACAGGGTGAATGTGCTGTATTCTCAAATCTGCTGGGTTTGCCCTGTTTCTAATGGGAGCTTCAGAACCCAGCCCTGGTGGTAGGAAAGGGCCCTCACACTTGGTTGTTGTTGGGAAAGTCCAGATCAGGCAGGAAGAAGGTTTTCTAAAGGGCTGTTATGTGGATCTTAACCATGTATGTGGGCAGCAGGCCAGGGCCAGCTTGCCTGACCACAGGAGTCACCAGGGTACACGGCTGTCTTGTCCTGCCTTCTGTACAGATCCCTTGCCTATCCTTGGAAGTATTGTTTTCTGGACACGTGTGGACTGCGTGTTGCTTGTGCTGAAGTGAGTTTGGGAGACTTTATCTTGTGTGCCTACCCAGATCCAAGCTGCGGTGGAACTGGCGGGGCCTCATAGGCCACCCCAGCTTATACAGCCAGTGTCTTTGGGACCAGAACGAGGGTCTGGCGAGGCCGGGTTGTCTAGGAAGCTCTTCAGCCTGTAAATATGTGGCTGCCCTCTTGAGTCTCATGCAGCTTCTATCCTAGGGAAGCAGATAGTGTGAGGGTGGTAGGAAGTGGACCTTTGCCTGGCCCATACAATGGCTATCTTTACCTTCACACCATCCCCCTCCCCTTAGTGCTCTGTGACCCAGACAGGGCCTGGGCTGGCTGTTTTAGTGGCAGAAATGAAATTGGCCCTATTTTCTAGATAGTGTGTGTCTAGTTAAATAGTCTTTGGCCCCATATGAGGAGCCTGCCTCCCAGCCCATATAGAGTGAAAATTTATTGGGCAAGGGGAGGGGGAGGGGCAAGTGTGGAAAATGTGACGCCCACATTTTTCTTCCTCCATTTTTCGCCTTCTGGTTTCCACTCACAAAGGGATTGTTCCTGCAGGGCAGGGACCACACCCCTTAGCCTTTCTGCAGAACAGAAGTTGGACCTGGACTATATTTATTGTGAGATTCCTCTAGAAGTGGAAAGGACATGTGAATTCGTGGTGTTATGCTGGAATATTTTCAGTGTGTAGAAGCAGAGAGGACACTGCATGGGGCCAGGACACTCCCTGTCCTACCTCAGAGAGTGGAGCACTGTTAGATCTCAAGACTGTGGGAAACCATGTCAGGGAAGGTGAAAGGTGAGGTGTCTCAGCCCTAGAAAAGGAGTTTCCACAATGGGCTCTTGCTGGAGTTATTGCAGGGTGATCACTAACTGGTGGCCCTTCCATTCCAGGTCAGAACTGACGTCTGTGCAGGCTTCCTTCCAGTCTGATTGCAGGTCCCCTTTCAGATTCCGTCCACGTGATTTCATGCTCTGTGGCTGACTTCATCTTAGTTACCTGGGGGACTTCTTACTTCCCTCTGTAGAGGTGACCCTGTCCACTGATACACTGATTGAGGCAGGCTGAGTCACCTCTGGCTGGGCTGTGGATAGTGTTGTGGGTGTCCCTCGGGGCTGTTGCTGTTAGGTGGTGAAGGGCTACTCTGCCTGCTTGGCCATGGGGTCACCGTGAGGAAGTAGACTGAGCATGAGACTCCAGGCCCTGCCCTGCTAGGCTAGGACAGGAACTAACACCTTGTCCTGGGATTTGTCAGGAAAGGATGTCACATGGGTGCTGGAGGTCCAGGTGGGCTGGGAGCATGGACTCGCACCCCATCTCGCCAGGAGTCCTTGAAGGTGGGACTGAATATGTGAGCTTGGACCCTAATACCATCTTGTTGGGAGTTCTTCAAGGTGGGGTTGAGGGTCACTTACAGAATCAGCAGCGTCTGACCTGTGCGGAATCAGAGTAGGAGGGGAAGCATGAATTCAAACCAAAGATGGTGCTGGAGTTACTGGTCGGTGGTAGGATGCTGGCCAAGGGCCATGGGTTTGATCCCCAGTATTGTAAGACAAGGCTGTACAAAGCAACTAAAGGAAACAAAGGATCTCACCGAGCAGGTGCCTGCTGGAAACCCAGATGGTCGTGGGCTGTGCCCTACCTCCTCCTAACTGTATCCACACAACAAGCCCTTCCCTTAGGAACCAGTGGAGAGGTGTCAGCACCCAGTTATCATGCCTAGCCCATGTTCATGTGTGTGAGCATGCATATATGCCCTGTGTGTGCACATGAGGGTAGAAGTTCTGGTTCCTCCCCAATAGAAGGTCACACGGTATTGAGCATTGTCCTTTGCTATGGTCAGACTGCTACTAAGTGTTTGGGTGTCACTGGTGTGACCTTCAAGAATGATGGGGCACCTCTGTGTGCTAATTCTGACTCTTTTCCCCAGCCATTATCTTTTTCTTGTTTTTGTTTAATGTGAGGACCTCCTGGGTCTGTGTCCTTTTCTGGAATTGTTGCCCAGGCCTTTTGATCACTCTGCTGGGTGAATGTCTGAACTGCTCCAAGGGGTTGAAGACACAGACAGCTCCTGTGATGAAGGGCTTTCTAATGGTCCAACATAATGCCGTGCCCCTTAAAGCCAAGCAGACTTAGACTGTCTGGGAACTGGACATTGCAGTCCCATTGGTCCAGAAAGATCATTTACTAAGGCTGTGTCCCTCTTGGGCCTGATGCATCCATGTCCAGATGGATTCCCTGCCTCATCCTGGCACAGCAGGAGCCCAGTGTGTTATGTGGTACAATATGTGATGGAGAGTGAGATCTGGGTATCAAGGAGATGCGTGCAGGATGCTGACGTTGCCTATAGGAGCAGTGGGAGAGTGGCGGGCATGCATTCCTTTGCACATGGGAAGCAATGAGGACCCTTGGTGGGTGTTCAGGGAATGGATGTGAACCACACACCAGTTGTGGTAGAGACAAGCAAGCAGTTGGCTTCCAGAAATGCAGCCTTGTATATATATATAGCCTCAGAGGACATGTGAAAGGCCTAGGCTGAGGATAAGCTTAGCTTTTGATGGTGAGTCAGGGTAGCCACGGGGTGCTGAGGTGGCTGGGGGAATTCCATAGGAAAGATGGCTTTGAGCTTGGTAGGTAGAGCCCTGTGTGCAAGTGTGCGCATGCCGTAGGGGCCAAGACAACTCCAGCAGAACAGGTCCGTATGAACTGTAGTGTGAAGAGGCTCCTCTTAGAAGAAGCCAGCAGTGAGTAGCATTACTGTGG